TATAGTTTTGTATTTAGAATGTGTTTAAAAAAATAGGATAGAGAAAAGAACATCTTGGCAAATCTAGAAGTAGCCTCAAAAAGTGAACATGTAAAAAAAATACAATAAGTATCTAATTTTGAAGATTATCCCAGTTTATATTTATAAAGTACCTCTCGCTACGCAACCTGAGCTACCCCCAAGATTACAAATGGTGGAGTTTGCCTTACAAGTGGGAATGGAAGAGATATACAATACAACTCAAGGTTACAATGGTGGACGCAAGCCTACAAAATGGAACATTCCAATGGAGAAAACTCCGACGTTAAAATTTTTTTATGTTTTTACGAAAAACTTCCAAGAAAGCGCATAAGGTCGTAGTTTATATTTTTATGTTTAATATTGTTTTATAATTGATACCAGTGAAAAGTGCAAGAGAATATGAACTGTATACCGGCACAAAGGTTTACTGGATTCAACGACGTAGACGAGTTTTTGAATCAATTTGAGGCCATCAGCGTATTACATAATTGGTCTGATGTGCATAAGAGATACGTGTTTGAATTGTATTTGGAGGGGACAGCTCTACAATGGTACAAAACGTATTTTTCTTCATACACGACGTATGATGTAATTGCACAGAAGCTAAAAGAGGAATTTCCCTTACATCTGTAAGGTTACGCCCGAGAATTTTATTATAGGCGACAGGGGCCTAACGAATCGCTGACAAGTTATTTTTATAGTTTAGATATAAGGCGAATATTCAAGATGTTCAGTTTATTGGACATTTCTTGAAATCTGATATACAATTTTCAATGGATGCTGGCTAGTAATTTGTATTTAGAGGTGGGAAAAACAATTATACAAGTAGAAGATATATTTAATCACGGTTATGATGTGATTCGACAAAATATTGAATTGCCAGTATGTTTTCGTAAGGAGCACTCTCACTGTTGGCAAACACAGGGTGACTCTACACCGATAGTTAGACCCGAGTCGAAGCAGTCGGAATATTCAGTGCCACGAGCACCAATTGTGTAGCAGGGTACGCCACGTCAAGTGTATTCATGGGCCCATGGTAGTGGATCTGCGTCGGGATCTCCTCAACGTGGATGTCAGCAAAGCTCAGCTGAACATTTAGAAAATTTGTGTACAATTGATAGTTTTAATGCAGATGGGGCACCTTTTATATCTGTTTTTATTAATGATGTAAGTTGCGAGGCGTTGGTGGATACTAGAGCTCCGGTTTCAATAATCTCTCGTTGTTTTGCAGAAAAGTTACATTTGCAGATTGATGATAGTCCAAGCTGGGCGGAACGCCAATAAAAATGCAAGCGTCCACCAAAGTGTCGTTGACATTTAATGGAAAGGAAAATCCATCAAGGTTGCTGATTGAGCAAAGTGATAAGGAATATCTTAACCTCGGTAAAGATTTGAAGAAGTGTGATTTCAAGTTGTCAAAATTGAAAATTGACAACAAAATTTCTTCTAAGTCCATGACAGATATTGGGTCAAAGAAAGAAAAGTCTTCTTTCAAACCGGTATCAAAAAGTTTAGATAACTTCCCGCTAAATAGTTCGGAGTATGTAAACTCTTCAGTTTTGTCGGGAATAAAGGAAAAAATTGGCGTAAGTGGCAAGACGTGTCAATTGCGTCAAAAGTGTAATTTATATGAAAATAAGAATACATATGTTTTGCCGAAGGTAAATTTAAAATATAATTCGGAAAGTGACATTTTAAACCTGTTCGCGTAAGTGTTGCGGAGAATTTACAAGGCAAGTTTATGAAATGAGCAGCCTTGATAGATTCGCATAAAGAATACATAAGTAATATACAATTGGAACAGAAGCGAAAATTTGATAAAAAAGATAGAGTTGCATTGATATCTAGGAGATATGATATGCAGAAGTTAGGGTAGTAGTTCGGTTGAGTAGAGTTAATTATATTGTGAGAAAGTAGGTGTAAATAGGAACAGATCGGGTAGGCAGGATCTAGTCCATGTGAATAGAATGAAAAGGTTCTATAAGAGGTAATTTAATGTTTTTAGTTTCTACTAGGTTAATTAATCTTTTATATTTATTTTTCATATGGAACCATGATGACATTGTGATGAATATTTTGAGGGAAGTTGTTATTTTTCGGCAAATGCAGACTTAGAAGGACGGGAAGAGAAGATGGACTACCAACATGGATTGGATAGATATAACTTACTTTTTTTTTTCATGGATATATTGTCCTGTGTGTGTGTATAGTTCGTGGTCCCCCTTCCAGATGAACAAGAACTGTCTGCATTCAAGGAAAATATATTTATTTAATTATTAGGAATGCTTTATATGGTATATCCCCATATCATATGTATGTTAGGAAATGTCGTTGTTAGGGTTATTTGTGTGTTTGTTCTGGTTTGTTTAAAGAAAGTGAGAAAAGCTGATGGAACGTGGATAGCTGCAGGATGAGGACTAAGGCAGCTGGGAGTACAATATTGATGCTACCCAGTGATCGTCCAATGGGTGCTCAAGCCTGTGTCGTTGACGTAGCAGCGTGCACGTTAAAGATAGTTTAGTGATGCATTAAGGAAGTTCTAGTAGTGATGTTTAAGGATTTGTAAGGAACATTCAGCCAAGCTAGGGTAGCTGAAATAAAGAGTTAGGGTTTAGATAGGTGACCTAAATAGCTACGATAGTTAACGAATAATTATATTTTGAATTGTTTGATTAGGATGTGGTCATGGTCTGTCCTTTTAGATAGGTTTTTGGCAGACTAAAGCCATAGCCTTCTCTGTGGTTTGCTTGTTGGTAAGGTAGGAGCTTCCGAGCAGTGTGTAGCTAGCCTATAGTAAAGGCTGAACACTTATGTAAGTTGCCTGTCATAGGTAGGGCACCAGCTAGGGATGTTCACCCCTTCAGTTGTGAGGAAGAGGGATGTAGTCCAGGCTCTACTCTATGAGTAGAACTACTGGCTGAGTGAATATAGTTTTGTATTTAGAATGTGTTTAAAAAAATAGGATAGAGAAAAAAACATCTTGGCAGATCTAGAAGTAGCCTCAAAAAGTGAACATGTAAAAAAATACAATAAATATCTAATTTTGAAGATTATCGCAGTTTATATTTATAAAGTACCTCTCGCTACGCAACCTGAGCTTCCCCCCCAGGTTACAATAGATTCTGGAGAATGTTCTGGAATCTCGTCTGTCGCCAGGTCGCCAATAGGATAAAGATGCAGTCCCGGAATGTGCTCTGTTTTGAAGCAAAAACAATTCTCTTATGGTTATTCATTGCGTCCGAAAATAGCGTTGCCATTATCGAGTTCTGGTTAGCATCAGGTGTTACCTTCGTATGGTGTTATAGTGCATCTAGGGTTCCTTATTATTTACGGGTCATTCCTTAATTCCTCCCCCTTAAGAGAGAACTAGGAGTGTAACGTGTTATGCCCGTGTTCTTATTGTTCCTATTAATTTCTGCGCACTTGTGGTAAAGGCACAGAATGATTTTCGTAGTGATAATAGTCCTGATGCTGGGTAATCAAATATGATTGATGAGTATTTGGCTTTCAAACAAAACTTGTCAAGGACCCTGGTCAGGTTCTATCGGAAACAAAAATTTTCCAATATAACGAATTCAAGATGGCCGCTATACAAAATTGAGTTTGCTGAATCCGAGTCGATTATGTACGGGTTGTATCTTATGAAGTATTTTAGTGTACTAATTTACGCAACAACACCAACTACCTGCTCTCTCTCTCACCCAAACCAATCCAACCAAATAAAATTCTCTTCTGAAATATTAAGTTCAACTCCCAATTTGTCATCAGACACAAAAAAAGCCCTTGCGGGCTGCTTTAGCGGCCCGGCGCAACGCGCGCCATCTAGTTATTATTAGTCAACAGCCTGGGTTAAAAAAAATCAAGATGGCGAATTCAAAATGGCGGCCGAAGAAAAACTTGCTTCGATCCGGCTGAAAATTAGCATGCTTGGGTCTTTAGGAGTTCTTAATCATAATTTGGGGACAAAAGGTTTTTTTTTGCCACTTTTTACTATGGCTGCCATATGAGCGTTTTTTTCGTTAAAAATAGCCGCTGAAAGAGATTTGCTCTGATTCGGCTGAAAATTGGCATGTAGTGGCCTCTAGAAGTACCGGATAATAATTTGTGGTCAATATTTGTTTTTCGCCATTTTCATATATGGCCACCATAGAAGCGTTCGTTGGCGGCAGAAAAAAAATTGCTCTGATCCCTTTGAAAATTGGCATGTGTGGGACTCTAGGAGTGCTTGATAATAATTTGCGGTCAACATTTTTTTTTCGCCTTTTTTCAATATGGCTGCCATACAAACTTTTTGGCGATATATAAAAAATTCTTCTAATTCGACTGAAAATGTCATGGCTGCAATCATAATTTGGAGTAAAAATTTTGTTTCCGCCGTTTTTCGATGTAGCCGTAATTTTTTATGTAAATGGCTGTTGAAAAAACTTGCTTTGCTCGGACTGAAAATTGGCACGAAAAGATTTCTAAGATTGTTTGATAATAATTAGTGGTCAAAATATATTTTTGCAATTTTTAAATAATGCCGCCATTAAAGAGCTATTTAATTTTTTTTAAT